TATGGCACAGCAAAACTAAAAAGTGTGATAAATCTGAAGTATGCCACTGCTGTAGCAAGAAGGGGCACGGAAAGTCTGCAGCCCCAAAAATCAGAAAGAAAGAATGCCCAGCCTATGGTCATACTTGCATGCTGTGCAGTCGATCCAATCACTTTGATTCTGTGTGCCGCAGCAGAAACAAGCAAAAATTGGAGAAACCTAGTAAAACACCAGAGGAATATGAAGGTGCAATCTTTGATACACTGTGTGCAGTCACAAACCTTGGCTGGCATCGTGGTAAAAGAGCCATCACCCTTGCCCACCACCTGTATGACCAACTGTCTGACACATGGATAAGACAAGCCTCTCAACCTCGGCCTTTTACTCATCTCACTGCAAAAGTTCTTGGGGAAGATTATGCTTACCACACACCTGTACCAGTTCCTCTCTTCTGGCAAGATGATGTCAAAACTGGCTTGGATCAAGACGTCCGGCTAAGTGTGATCGAGCCAGTACCAATAGGTGAACCTGTCACATAGAATAGTTGTTTGTCCCAAGAAGAATGGTAAACCAAGACGCCTGTTGACTTTCAAGCTCTTAACGCACATGCAGTCAGAGAAACACACCACACACAGTCCCCATTCCACCATGCCAGATCTGTACAGCACGGCAAAAAGAAGACTGTATTTGATGCTTGGAATGGTTACCATAGCGTACCCATTCGGGATGAAGACAAACATCTGACGACATTCATCACACCCTTTGGGAAGACGCAGATATCTCACCAAGGATACATTGCCTCAGGAGATGGTTACACCCAGCGTTTCGATGAGATTGTTGCTCATGTACCTGACAAAACCAAGTGCGTAGATGATGCACTCCTCTGGGCTTATGACATTGCAGAATGGTTCTTCCAAGCTTGTGGATGGCTTGACATCTGTGGTAGAAACGGCACGAAACTGAACCCTGAGAAGTTTGCCTTTGCTCAGGATACAGTTGAATTTGCACGCTTTGAGATAACACATGACTGTGTTCGGCCCTCGAAAAAGTACCTCCAAGCCATCTTGGACTTTCCCACACCAAGAAATATTACAGACATGTGGTCACGGTTTTGCCTAATCAACCAGGTATCTTATGCTTTCTGCATGGAAGAGAGGATGCAACCATACTGTCAGCTATTGAAGCCTGGGACACCTTTTCGATGGGATGATCACTTAGACATGTTGCTTCAGGAATCAAAGGCAGTCATTGTCAGCAAGATTGAGGAGGGTATACAAATATTTGACAAACGGAAGCCGACATGCCTTGCTACTGACTGGTCAAAAGGTGGAATTAGATTTTGGCTATTCCAAAAACATTTCAAATGCCCCAAGACAGTGCCTTTGGTTGGCAGTCGATTCACCTATGCTGCTGAATCCCGCTACGCCCCTGTGGAAGGAGAGGTATTGACAGTTGCTGAGGCACTGGACAAAGCCAGGTACTTTGTTCTCGGCTGTAACAATCTCACTGTTGCGGTCGACCACAAACCACTCCTCAAACTGTTTGGTGACCGATCCCTTGAACATGTCTCCAATGCTCGACTCCGAAACCTAAAGGAAAAGATATTGCGCTATAAATTCCAGATGGTTCATGTACCTGGTGCAAAACACCGCGCTGCTGATGCTGTCTTCCGCCATTCAACTGGCCACCCTGAGAAAAAGGTGTTAATAGATGATGTCGCAGCCATCTGCCATGATGACGACTTGCTTGAACCCCAACTTTCTCAAATGTCAGTCACATGATCCTAGCCTCAATAAGATGCAGTGAGAAGCCTGACAGCTGTGTCGTCGATCAGCTCCCTCCAGTCCATCACCTGGGACAAGGTTCGGATAGCAACAAGCAGTGACAAGGATATGGTGAAGCTGGTGGAGATGATTGAATCAGGGGTGCCAGAATTCCGCCATGAATTACCAGCATCACTTCGCGATTACAATCAGTCTCGTGAGCATCTTCATACAGTGGATGGGGTTGTCATATACAAGGATGGAATCATGATTCCCCCATTACTACGACAGGATGTCGTGACTGCACACCACTCTGCTCACCAAGGTGTGATGTCAAGAGCTGAAGCATCTGTCTTCTGGGCTTGAATCACGATTGCAACCGTATGGCCCCCTCCCAACCTTGTGGCCCACCCATGCCACCTGTCTACCCAGTCTACCCATTTCAATGTGTGTGTGCTGACTTTTTCCATTACAAAGAGGTCAACTGCTTAGTGGTGGTCGACAGATACTCTGGCCTACAGTTGAAAGAACCTCCAGTGGTGCATCTGGCATGATTGATTGTCTATGCCTAACATTTGTTATCTTTGGCAATGAGCTATCTTCTGATGGTGGCCCTGAATTCAAGCCTCAGCTACCAGAGAGTTCCTTCGAACATGGGGTGTGCATCATCGCCTGTCACCTGTTGCCTTCCCATACAGCAATTGTCGAGCAGAGGTCGGTGTCAAGACTGTGAAAAGATTGATAATGAACAACACTGGACCTAACAGGGAACTTGACACTGAGGCCTTCCAACGTGCAATGCTACAATACAGGAACACTCCAGACAGAGACACATAGTTATCCCCTGCGATGTGCGTCTTCGGTAGACCCCAAAGAGAAACCGACATATGAGGACGGCTGAACGGCTTACTGAGCACACCAAACAGCTACCGCCCCTTGTTGTTGGGAATCTCATCCGAATCCAAAAACAGTTCCTCATCTACTGAAATGGGACAAAACTGGATATGTGATCAAAGTTTGTCAATTCGACCAGTATTTTGTACGTGTGGGCGGCTCAGGCAGAGTAAGTCTGTGCAACAGGAAATTCCTCCACAAATACGCTCCTGTATATCCACCCACACCCACAGTCACAGTTGCTGATCATTTGCCAGGTCATATTCACTCAACATCACCATCTGGTCTCAATGGTACACAATACCGACCTTTCTTGCAGAAGGCCTAATCCAGGCCCAGCAATGCCAACAGTAATCAGCCTGTTGCCCCCTCGCAGAAGGAATTAAACTTGATTGAACCATCATCCTGAGCCGTGCCAACAACGATGCCGTCCCTATTACCCTGCTTTCAACACCAGACTGTTGCTCCTCAACAACCTGCCGCACCGTCGTTGAGAACAACACCAAATACAAAAATGCTACCATCCCCATGTCCTGCCCCAGTGGATGTTGAACCCAGACGTTCTACTCGGAGAAAGATTGCACCCTCGTGGCTAAGTGACCATATTCATGCTATTTGAGTGGAATATTCCCTGGACTGTAGGGCTGCAATTCTGAAAAAGATTATCAGACATGCATGTGTTATATGACATTCATGTCATCCTTCTCTTCCATAGATATGGAGGATTGGAACATTCACAATATGTGACATCAACACACTTGAAGACATTTCAGTTCATTTAAAAGTCTTATTTAGTCCTTGTCATACCTTTTGCAAGATCTACCAATGACTTGGGTAGGGTAGGGTAGAGACATTATACAATCATGTGTTAAATTAAGTTATGTTTCCTGTTCTGTGTTCCGGATCTCCATCATTTGTGATGTCGAATAAAGATATCTCAAAACAGTACAACACCTACTCATCTAATAAGAGTCAAAACACTGAGAATACCATGTCAACAAATCCATACTGAAGTACACAAATTAATCTTAAACCTTGCATGTAAATCTTTGAATCATGCACAGTCTCTCATGAAATGCGGTTAGGTGATCGGTCCCCAACTAGCCCTGAGGCTCGTCCCTCGGTATATACCCTCTACCGCATCACAGTTACACTAGCCTGTCAGCTCCAAGAAAGAGAATGATGTGTCAAAGGGTGTCAGGTGATCAAACCACTTACATCACGATGCATGGGATTGTAGTGCATGACCCATTTGTTTGGGTGGTGACTCTGGTGATGTGAGGTGGCGTTTGGGCGAAATGGTTTTAGAAGCTGGAAACTTTGTTTCAGGATGTTTTCACACTAGGACCGCAAGAAGAAGAAGGAAATGCATGGTGTGAGATAGGATAAGCATAAAAATATCAAATTTAATGTAAAATTTTGATGTCAAGTTGGTGACAATTCAGAACTATGTGTGCAGATAATTCTTATGCCCAAGATGGCAGAGAATTTTGGAACAGAAACCCCCGCCCAATACCCAGGTTCAACCTTTGTAAAATTATAATCGCCAACAGTCAACTCGACATTCACTCTAGCAAATTTGGAGGTATACCATTTTTTATTTCTCAGAAACCAACTGAAAACAAAAAAATGGCCTAAGATATATTTTCACACTCAATGCTGTTAGTTTGAGCCTGTGCTAGTACATGTGTCTTTGCTATCTCTATTGCTGGTGTGTTGGTGTTAGTTTTTATTGCCTTCACTGATTAGTACTCACTCATGTGCTTTTGTTCCAAAAACAGTTCTATCTCTAAGTTAGTCAGATATTTACGATCCCTCACAAAAAGCTTGAGTTCAGTGATAAGTTTACTTATGACACCATGTAGTGTTTCTTAACTTCTTGGGGAATGCCCAACGACACCAGTATCAACATTATTTCAACATTTATTGTGACCATGTGTGATTTACATGGAAGGCACCATTCCTGTAACAAGAACAAGGTGTTGATATTTGGTAAAGTGACAATGTACAGAGCTGCTAAATATAGCAGGCATAGCAATAATTACACTGAGGGCATAATGCAGGGCAAATGCAGTGCTGGGCAAAGACCCTCATCGCTCAATAAATAAACAATATTCAAAGATTGCTACAGTGTTTGAGATCCATTTATATCTTTGGAAATTTTGCTCACAATGTGATTATTGTCAGTGGCATGCCTTTAATGACATTTTCAAAACTGTAGTATCAACGAAGACAGAGTTGAGATGCTTGATAAATGTTACTAGCATCTGTACCGAAACATCAAATTGCAAGAATAAAGAGGCTGAAATTCGTAACTCAGCTGTGTTTTCATCAATTTCAGTGTGGTAGGGGATAATACAATACCTGTAGATCAAAGAAACGACTGTATCTCCTGTAGATAACATGCTGACCACCCTCTGACCAAGTAACATGGATGACATACACCTGTAAAGAAACAATCATACATATTTACTGACATCCTTCGAAGCCTATAGTGGCAAAAACAGATGCCACATTTAGACACTTTCTGCTGTTTTTATTGTAGCATACAAAATAACTGAGTATGGTTTTACTAACAATTATTCTATGTGCTTCTATGATGAGTTGTGTGAGGGTCCCTTCCTTCCAAATCACAATATTAATTGTCTCTCAATACACCAGTCAATACTGTCATTTGGTCTATATGGTAGATTGGGGCAGATTCGTGGGTAAACCGACCGTGGCCAATATGACATCATCGCAAAATGACCTGATGTCTTGACTGACAACCCAAGTAGGTTTGATCCATTGTAGGGTTAAATTCATGAAGTCTATTGATTCCTACATGGGTGATCAACCTTTTTTGCATGAGATCCCGAGTATAACTCATGATGGTTGGTTTGAAATCGTTGTACGGGATAATGAGTGGAGATAACGGTTTGTCAAGAACTGCTTTAGATGCAGCATAGGCTTTTAAGTTACCTGCTATGCCTACATGACTTGGAAACCAGCCAAAGACAATGTCACATTGGCCAGTAGAAAGATCACTAAAATGTACATAAATGTCTAGGGTTATGGGATGATATTAGGTTACACTTTTAAGTGTTGAAGGCAAGATAATGAATCTGAAAAGATGATGAAATGTTTAGACTGGTTTTGTTGTTTAATATAGGTCAAAGCTGTTAAGATAGCTTTGGTCTCAGCAGTAAAGACTGAACTATTATCTGGGATTATCGAGGAGATAGTTCTGGATCCAATGATGGTGACACTTGCAACTTTGCCACCATCCTTGGACCCGTCAGTAAAAATGTTTGCAATTGGTAAAATAATTGTTGACAAACCAAAGAATTTGTTCCAGACTTTTTGAGATGGGTTAGAGTGCGGTCTATCTCTGGCTTCAACATCTGCAAGGGAGGAGAAGACAGAAGTCCGTAGCGTGATATAGTGTTAAGATCTATTTTAGCTGCAGTGATGTGTGGTTGAATTCTAAATTCCAAGTGGTGGAACCAGATGTGACAAATGTGTAATGTGAGGTAATAGATTGTTGACATGCATGTATCGATATATTAAAGTATTGATGCATTTAGGTATTGATGTTGTGATGTATTAATGTTCTAATGTTGATGCTATGATGTATTGATATATGATGGATTTAGAATACCTTTGGACACTCCGGCACATGCCAATTTCATAGTGAAAATGTCCCGCAAGAGGTGCCTACATTTGATGGCATTGGTACAAGCAAACTATACTCAACAACAAAAGTTCCTGTGACACCAATATTTTAGTGTATTTTTCAAACAAGTAAAGTTTGGTTGTCAGTATTGTAGTACATGTATGGAATCAAGTCACGCAACTGCTACAGAAAGGCATGCATTCCATGCAAAAGTTGACTTTTATGCAAGCCCCATGCATTTCACTACCCAAGAATGGGTATAAAAATATGTGCGTTAACGGGATTCCATATGCATTGTTAAGCATTGTGCTGACAACAACCACTCAGAAAAACAACAAAATAACGCAATTATTCAACATTACGAAATGCCACGCCTGTCCGAAAATGAGCGTCTGCGAGCCACTGGTATGCTTGAAACAGGATCGAGTCAACGTGATGTTGCAAGACAATTTAACGTCCACTGAAACAGCATTTGGTGTTTATGGCAACGTTGGCAACAGACGAATGCAGTCAGAGACCATCCTCGAAGTGGCAGGCCACACATAACCAATAATCGACAAGACGACTGTATTCGAACAACACACCTATGAAATCGATTCCAGCCAGCAACAGTGACTGCAAGAAGCATCCCTGACCTTCAACAAATATCTTCACAAACCGTACGTCGTCGCCTCAGATGTGCAGGGATTGTCGCCAGAAGACCCGCCAGACGTCCCATTTTGACAGGAAACCACCGTCAAGCACGTCTACAGTGGTGCAGACAGCGTCTACGCTGACGGCCATGCAGTGGCGACAAGTTCTATTCACTGACGAGTCTCGTTTTCACCTAAGCCACAGCGATGGACGAATTCGAGTGTACCGACGTCGAGGTGAACGTTATGTCAATCACTGTGTCATGGAAGAAGATCAGTTCGTGGGCGGCAGTGTTATGGTATGTGGTGGGATTACAGCAAGACAGAGGACCCGTTTGATAGTGGTAGAGGGAAATCTCAATGGACAGCACTACCGCGACGAGATCATCAGCCCTGTTGTTCTACCGTTTTTGCGCCGTCAAGGCCCAGGCATTACCTTTCAACATGACAACGCCCGGCCTAATATTCTCTTCAACAAAACAACGTGAATGTCATCCCCTGGCCGGCTCGCTCCCCTGATCTCTCACCAATCGAGCACATGTGGGATGAGATGGATCGGCGCCTTCAACGTCAACCAACGTCAACTTCGAAACATGCTCCAGCAGATATAGACAGATATCCCACAGGACTTTGTGCGACGCCTTGTCCATTCCATGAGACGAAGATGTGTTGCTTGCATCGCAACCAGAGGTGGACACACACGCTATTGATTTGTAAATTGACATTTTGGCATGTTCATGTTTTTTATGAAATCACGCATTTTCTGAAGTCTGTATGGCAAATTAAACCATTTGAACACTTACAGGAGTCTTTTATCTTTTGCAAACCGAAATTGTTTCAGATTTGGTACAAAACATAACTTTGCATTAAATCTTATTCAATGTCACAGGAACTTTTGTTGTTCAGTATAATTTTTGAGAATTCTAACATGGTCGAAGTTGGAAATGGGTTCAGAACACCCTGGGACACCCAGACACATGCCAATTAAATAGCAGCGATGCCTTACATGTGACGGCATTGGTACAAGCAAACCATGTGAGGATTCAAACATGGTTGAGGTCTGAATCAATTGTTTCATAATGCTATAGTGCACTTATGGTAATTAATATTTTAAATATACACATAGTAAAAGCTGCAACAAAATAACTGGGTATTGGAATATATATTTTTTCTGATAAAATAATACCAAATCACAGGTAGACTGGTAAAAAATGTGGGTGCAGCTGGTTGCTATTTCCAGCTTAGTTTATGAGAAAATATACAAAATGGCAAACAGAAAATACAATTTCAATTATAAATCATCATGTCTTGTGATAATTTATCTCAAATATCAAATTTTTATTAACCAAGTTATACCTTGATTTACCTGAAATCTCTGAAGGGATACTATGTAGTTTTCTATTGTACATAATATGCCCTAGACAGATACCTTCACCCTTTCAAATCATGTAATAGGGTATGCATTAACCAACAACAAAAACAAAAACATGTCAGTTTGGCTGCAGCTCTTTATTATATATCCCTTTTTATATATATCATTCTTCTATCCTCCGTTAGGTGTCGCTTCATGCAGCACAGAATAGCACTGAAACCAGTCCAAAATGATTGTCCATAATACGCAAATTTTGATTCCTGTAAGAAATTGCCAACCCAGATTTCAATACTTTCTAAGTGTGAGCAGTGTTTTCCTTTAACGTTTTGGGCCTAATTATCTTCCTTGGTGTTAGAGGGTGTTAGTCACAGCAGCAGCTGACAACCCAAGAGCAATACCAAGTCTTGTCGCAAATGTCTTTGGCATTATGTATACTACACTCGAAGATCAGAGTTAGAATTGGTCTTCAGCAACCCATACTAGCAGCAGCAAACTTTTCACACCCCTCCCACCCTCCCACCCTCCCAGTGGTACTACTGTCTTGTGGCATGGCAAAACAGGGGCTTTTATGTACGCTCCTTTAACCGTTAAATCATTGCATGATGTAAGTCACTGCATGATGACAGCAAATTCATGTCGGCATTATAAGCATGCATGTGATAAAGTTTCCAGCCCTGTACACTTTTTGTTTATTCAAGTTTATTGCAAGCTAGTAGATAATTATCCGAAGTTTAGATAAAGTGTACGGTACATACATAGTGTTTCCTTGGATGTCGCCTCTTCTCCACACCAACAACTGTGACTTTCCTTATCGTCTTCATATTCTGTGTGAAGAAACACTGCTAACAAGAATGAAACAAATGTTATATTTGAGATAACGCTTTCTGAGTAAAGTATGGCTTCTCGTACCATTTTGGGTTGAGTCCCGTTCGTGATTTGAACCCACACAGCCAGATTTAGGCACCTAATTTAAGCGCACAAAGTCAGTGATCTAACCCACTCAGCCATCGAGGCTTCCACAAAAATGAAAATCCGACAACTGGTAGTCTAGATCACATACTTTGTGTACCCCTCTGACATGTGTAAAAGTATGAGAATCTGTTCTTTACTCAGAAAGTGTATAACAGCAAAACAGCTAAGGCTTTTGGGGGCACTTAACTTTTAGATATCATTGGGACACTGTTATTTATATATAAAACTCAAAACTGAGAACTCCTGACAGGACTAAGTCTTTGAAAGGCGTTTAGATCTAGAAGTGATACACATAAGGAAGTGAATTTATGGATGTCAACTTCTTTATTATGAGGAACACAACGTTTCAGAGTATATGCTTACTCCTTCATCTAGGGCTAATCTTGCTCAGTACACTCGTGAATCAAGTCAGACAAGGGATGTCCGACGTTTTCATTGGCTGTTCAGATACAATTAAATAGATCTTTTGCTGTTGACATGTACGGTACAGTTAAATACAGTTATAGGCCTACAGCAACATGACTATTATATTTTAACCCACAGTTGAAAATGTGATTCTTCGCTAAACTTCTAAGTTGTTCCCCAAATCATAATGACAATAAAGACCTTCTAGTGATCTTTTCTGAGATTTTGATACTTCAAGACATCTTATATTGATACATTCTATTTCCCAGCTATCTGATTCTTGTGACAACAGTTGTAAAAATAACGAAAATCCTTACAAGCCGGACCTGCTCCGGAAAGAATCCAGTATGTTAGCTGGGCTCCGTCTCTTCATATGTACCGCTGTTGACTGGGATCCTGTCTACTTAAACTAGTAAACAGGAAAGCTGGGCCCCGTCTCTAAAATATCGCCATATGAAAGCCGGACAGACCAAAGAGACGATGGCTGTGTTCGAAATATTAAACATACACTGTGTTATGTAATTTTTCATTGGTCGCTATTTTTAGACGAAGCGCTGCCACAATTAGAAACGTCACAAACTTCTTTAAAGGGGCACTGATCTAACGCAATTCCCTGGACTGGTTGTTGCCTTTGTTATTGTTTTTCCCCCCGTGAGTACCCGGATGATACGCAACGCAACTGAGCGTGACCAGAGACTGGGCTACCGTCTGCAAGGACAGCTAAATAAACTTGGAGGCTGGAGGCAATATTTGTTTTACGCATTTTTGCATAAACACTGATTGGTTAACTGTGATCTATACAGATTTCGACAAAGGGCGCATGTTGATTAATTTCTTCAGCCTAAACAAGCAGACAAAAAGAACAGCGGAGCTCATCGGATGTCGTCATTTGGAAATACCCCAGATGGTTATAGTTTTATACTAAAAAAAGTATCCATGCAGTGAAAGCATTTTCGGATTTCGGCTTGTGTCGATAATACGATTACTACTCCCTTGTTGACATCCACGTTTTCTCGTATAACCCTTCACTTGTGTATTTGTCGTCATTCACTTGATGCTCAGTTAATGAATTTATTACAGGTACAATTAGTGGTAGCACCACTTAGATTATCTGACAAAGGTTCCCATTTGGCATTTATTGTGTCTGGGGTAATTATTCAATCTAAATCCAGGTTTGAAGTGAGGTGAAATGTGTGTTATGTAATATGCACGTGGCATCCCAGCAAGAGATGAATGATCAGTTGATTTTTTTGTTTGTAAATCAACGGAACGTTCCTAGTCATCAAAGGATTAACAGAAAATACGTTGATTGATTAATCACTGTTATCTTGCACAGTGGATATGTCAAGAGTGAGTGTTTACATGTCTAGGTTTACTAAAACAAAGGGAATACACTCATACCATGGCCTGAAGTGCCGATGTAAAAACAACATACTTTGTTCAAAGGGTTAACTTATAATACGTTGATTGATTGATCATTGTTATCTATCACTGAATGATTTTTTTAGGAACCGTGAACGTTATGAAAATAGTTGTCACGTGGGCTTTCTCAGCCGACCATTGAGACTTGACACCTATGTAAAACACCTGAAACAATCCAAGTGATCAGTTGAGAAACGAACACGGGTTATAATATCCCGAAACGACATATATCTTTTAAAATATTTGATTGTTACTGAGACACGTGACATCGAATAAGTTTCTTTGTACATCTGCAGACGAGTGGGATATTGTTCCTTTGTGTGGATATTCACGGATACATTCCTCGAACAAGGACGCTGCCTAAAATTTATACACATAAATTTGGTAGGTTGTAATTCTGATATTTGCATTTTGTTTTCCTTCATTTGAACCGATTCGTTCTTGTGTCTCTACGTCTTGGTTGGGAAATTCTTCAATGCGCGATAGACGTTGTTTTCACAGGTCTTTTCCTTTGTAAGCGTGTATATATTACAGTCAATTTGTAAAATGTGATTCTCTCAGGCAATTTATAAAATGTGTAAATATTTGAGTCATTTTGACTAAAAAATCTGTCCAGATTGATTAAGACGATCAAAAGGGCATACAAACATCACAACAGATTATGTAGGATTAGAAGCCAAACAACATAGAAATGTTCTTTTCTCAACGTAACATTTTCAGTCTCTTGGTGATGACATTAAACATCAAAATGTTTGGAATTCGTTATCATAATAATACAGATGGAAATGTTTTTCAGTCACTTTGTAAAATAACTGAATATTTAGACGTTTAATAAATTTGTTACACATTTGACAATAAAAAAAAATACACACTATAAAAAAAGCAATGCTCAGGTGAAATATGTACTTTGTGTTGCAAGTCAAAATAGTGTAAACGAAAATCGCAAAATTACCAAGCAAGTGACTTATCAAAACTTCGTCACCATTACCGATGCTACCCACAAAGATACCTACATTTCCTTATTATCTCGAAAACTGTATTTCATTTTGTTGATCAATGTGACCATACGCCCTTATTACTACCCATAAAAGCGACTAATGCGCTTACGAATGGCGCAGCAGAGGTCGCGAACTAGTCTAGATTTCTGCTATACATCCGGATACTCACTGGGAATTTTTTTTTAAAAAGGCAACAACCAGTCCCGGGGAATTGCGTTAGATCAGTGCCCCTTTAAGTTCTTTGTTGGATGTGCCGCCATCTGCTGCAGCAAAGACCTTCCAAAAGTATTGTCTTCATACATTTGAAGTACATGATATCAATATGTAAGAGAAATAAAAAAACAAAACATAGTCTAGCCTATTCTTTGCATAAACATTTCGCACGTTTTCGAATACACCCCCAATTTGTGCTGTGCGAGACAACTACTTATTATACACCAAGTCTTGTCAGAAAACGTTGAGCGAATGAAATATTCTTAGGTATTTGAACGAGATACGCATGTAGGAAATTTATATGTTTGTACTCCCTAAAATTGGCGTAAAAGTCATGCTTGTGAAAAAGTTCGAATCACTGATGCATGTTCAGTTCTGTTTGTTCTTGACCTCAAGTCATGATTTTTTATGGAATTGCGCTAATTGTTTTCATGAGAGTAGGCAATATAAGAATGCATCCACACACCAAAAATTTGTATTCTGAGGGTGATACTTTTGAGGAAAGCTCCCATGGCGTAAAAGTCATGCTTGTGAAAAAGTTCGAATCACTGATTCATTGTCAGTTCTGTTTGTTCTTGACCTCAAGTCATGATTTTTGATGGAATTTGTGCCAATTGTTTTCATAAGCGTCGGCCATATACGAATGCATCCGCACACCAAAAATTTGTATTCTATGGCTGATACTTTTGAGAATAGCTCCCATGGCGTAAAAGTCATGCTTGTGAAAAAGATCGAATCACTGATTCATGTTTAGTTCTGTTTGTTCTTGACCTCAAGCCATGATATTTGATGGAATTGCGCCAATTTTTTTTTATGAGTGTCGACCATATAAGAATGCATCCATACACCAAATATTTGTATTCTGAGGGTGATACTTTTGAGGAAAGCTCCCATGGCGTAAAAGTCATGCTTGTGAAAAAAGTTCGAATCACTGATACATGTTCAGTTCTGTTTGTTCTTGACCTCAAGTAATGATTTTTGATGGAATTGCGCTTATTGTTTTCATGAGAGTAGGCAATATAAAAATGCATCCATACATCAAATATTTGTATCATGAGGCTGATACTTTTGAGGAAAGCTCCCATGGCGTAAAAGTCATGCTTGTGAAAAAAATTCGAATCACTGATACATGTTCAGTTCTGTTTGTTCTTGACCTCAAGTAATGATTTTTGATGGAATTGCGCTTATTAATTTCATGAGAGAAGCCGCAAAATAAGAAAGCATCCATACACCAAAAATTTGTTTTCTGAGGCTGATACTTTTGAGGAAAGCTCCCATAGCGTAAAAGTCATGCTTGGGGAAAAGTTCAAATCATTGATGCATGTTCAGTTCTGTTTGTTCTTGACCTCAAGTCATGATTTTTGATGGAATTGCGCCAATTTTTTCATGAGTGTCGACCATATAGAAATGCATCCACACACCAAATATTTGTATTCTGAGGCTGATACTTTTGAGAAAAGCTCACATGGCGTAAAAGTCATGCTTGTGAAAAAAGTTCGAATCACTGATGCATGTTCGGTTCTGTTTGTTCTTGACCTCAAGTCATAAATTTTGATGGAATTGCGCCATTTGTTTTCATGAGGGTCGGCCATATAAGAATGCATCCACACACCAAATATTTGTATTCTATGGTTGCTACTTTTGAGGATAGCTCCCATGGCGTAAATGTCATACTTGTGAAAAAGTTCGAATCACTGATGCATGTTCAGTTCTGTTTGTTCTTGACCTCAAGTCATGATTTTTTATGGAATTGCGCTAATTGTTTTCATGAGAGTAGGCAATATAAGAATGCATCCACACACCAAAAATTTGTATTCTGAGGGTGATACTTTTGAGGAAAGCTCCCATGGCGTAAAAGTCATGCTTGTGAATAAGTTCGAATCACTGATTCATTGTCAGTTCTGTTTGTTCTTGACCTCAAGTCATGATTTTTGATGGAATTTGTGCCAATTGTTTTCATAAGCGTCGGCCATATACGAATGCATCCGCACACCAAAAATTTGTATTCTATGGCTGATACTTTTGAGAATAGCTCCCATGGCGTAAAAGTCATGCTTGTGAAAAAGATCGAATCACTGATTCATGTTTAGTTCTGTTTGTTCTTGACCTCAAGTCATGATATTTGATGGAATTGCGCCAATTTTTTTTTATGAGTGTCGACCATATAAGAATGCATCCATACACCAAATATTTGTATTCTGAGGGTGATACTTTTGAGGAAAGCTCCCATGGCGTAAAAGTCATGCTTGTGAAAAAAGTTCGAATCACTGATACATGTTCAGTTCTGTTTGTTCTTGACCTCAAGTAATGATTTTTGATGGAATTGCGCTTATTGTTTTCATGAGAGTAGGCAATATAAAAATGCATCCATACATCAAATATTTGTATCATGAGGCTGATACTTTTGAGGAAAGCTCCCATGGCGTAAAAGTCATGCTTGTGAAAAAAATTCGAATCACTGATACATGTTCAGTTCTGTTTGTTCTTGACCTCAAGTAATGATTTTTGATGGAATTGCGCTTATTAATTTCATGAGAGAAGCCGCAAAATAAGAATGCATCCATACACCAAAAATTTGTTTTCTGAGGCTGATACTTCTGAGGAAAGCTCCCATAGCGTAAAAGTCATGCATGGGGAAAAGTTCAAATCATTGATGCATGTTCAGTTCTGTTTGTTCTTGACCTCAAGTCATGATGTTTGATGGAATTGCGCCAATTTTTCATGAGTGTCGACCATATAGAAATGCATCCACACACCAAATATTTGTATTCTGAGGCTGATACTTTTGAGAAAAGCTCACATGGCGTAAAAGTCATGCTTGTGAAAAAAGTTCGAATCACTGATGCATGTTCGGTTCTGTTTGTTCTTGACCTCAAGTCATAAATTTTGATGGAATTGCGCCATTTGTTTTCATGAGGGTCGGCCATATAAGAATGCATCCACACACCAAATATTTGTATTCTATGGTTGCTACTTTTGA